TAACAGCTGCCTTGTTAGAGTTCTAATAAAGGACCACATCAGTCCCCTTTAAATCTCAGTCTCCTTTAAATAAGAGAATCGATTCAAAAGATATTAATTTTGCAATGGAACACTTGTTTCCTTGGTGTTCACATGAGGACTAGCAGAAGCTTAAATTTCACTTAATTTCCTCTAGAAATACATACTCACCTCACTATTGGATGGATTTTCACTTATTTTGGAGAGGCCAAACAAGTGTTTAACACTGAATTTTAACACTGATTACCACCCAGCTCTAAGTGGGATGGAGCAAACAAAAATTCTTGCAGAAGACAGCAAAACCTTCATGGAAGCATTAACTTCTGCCTACACTTATACTGTGGAAACCATCATCAAAATAGTGAGGTATTTATCAAGTGGCTAGTATGCAAGCTACATATATGAAGGTGGTCTGAATAGGCTTACCCTCTCCAGCACACACCATCAGCTGCTCCAAGCAGACTGCCAAGTAAGAAACCACCAAGCAGTCAGCTGGACCTGGAGCAAGGAACTTTTGACTTCTCAGGCAACTCCCAGGAGCAGCCAGTACTAACAAAGCAATCTCCTCTGCCTCCACCAAACTGGAATCATGCACTAGAAGAGGTCTGCAAACACAAGCTATGAAAACCAAGTACCATCATTACATCAGACCGCTCTCATTTCACCAAATCACCCCAGTAAGATGACTGAGATTCATGAGTTCTCCAGCCTTAACAGACCCTAGATTTTCTCATCAGCATCAACGATATTCCATCTGCTGCCATTTTTACCTTCCTTCAGTTGTGATCAGAGACTGTCAAGACACTGGTGGAAAAGATCAGTTAGTGGACTTTGTTCAAAAGGTGACCCAGATGGCAGAACATGCCTTAATCCTGACAATTTGAATAGCAAACCACTTAGAAACTTCTACTGTGATCTCTTCCACTTTGCAATTATACACATTTTTCTTCTGAAAAAGAAGAAAAACACCTGCAGGTGTCCGCATGCCAACCTCCTGCCCCCTGCCACGCAGCCCTGGTCTCCTGCCATGAGCAGCAGTTCTCTCTCCCGAGCAGTTACCCACTATCAGCCTTGTAAGCTGTAGGCAGTGGAAAACCTGCCAGGGACAAGGCAAAACATCCAAAGACAACCAAGCTGCACACAGAAACCAAGGACTTGTACCTGTTGCCATCCCCCTCCAAGTCAGGTGCCAAGGAAACTATACAGCAGCATGTCTTGCACCAACTTACTAGTACAAATGAAGACAGACACAGGGCAACTTCTCTTTGCTGACCCCACACTTGCTCAGGCCCATTGGTGTTAGCAATAACAGAAAGCATAAAACAGAAATACACCAGAGGCAGCTGATGCTACAGTGAAGAATGCTGGCAGCTGCAGCAGCGGGACCAGGTATGCTTTTTGAAGAGCTTCCAGCTGTAAGCAGATCCTAAGGTAAGCAATGGTGGATCCCTAGCATCCAGTAAGTCCTTTGGTGCTTTATCCCTCCACAAGAGAAGCAGACAGATCTGCTAATTGCCCTGTAAATGCCTGCCTGGACATCCCAGGGCCAGGGCCAGAATGAAAGCTGCAAGAACAGAGAGAGAAGTGACAAAAAACTAAGTCAAGAAAAGTAAAGAAGAAATCAAGGAACAACATCCTCTGTGTTGTTTTTATGCTCTTGCTCTACCTTACATGTCTCCAAAGTGGAGCAGGGCCCCAAGACACCAAGGTGAGATAAAGACATTTGTCATGGCCCATGGAAAACTTGTCAGTCCTTCCCCTTCCCAAGCCTTTAACTATTTTTTCCTGTTTACAGCACAGCCAAACCATTTTTGCTCCCAACATTAAGCTCAAGTTAACCAAAGACCCAATTTGTTAAGCAGATGGTCCATGATACAAGATATTTGCAGTTTTGCAAGCATCAGCACAGACCACACAAGCAGCAGAACTCAGGACTGAGGCAGTACTGCACTCACCATGCCACTCTGCGCACTGCCAGCACCACATACTGCTACAAGCCCTCTAAAATGCTGCTGTCATATTCTTGTGAACAGAAAAGGCAACTGAGAAAAGGTTCCTTCAGTAGATCATACAAACGCCCTCCATTTAGGAAGATACAGCCCAACCATTCAGTCTACATGAGCTGACAGCATGCCAGGTGAAAATACCACAACCAAACCTTCAAAGCAAAATTTGCCCCTGTATATAAGGATATGGTCCCCTGCTGGAGTTCTTGCGAGTGCTAAAACCCCTGGTGGTGGGCAGACATGAGCCAGGACTTAACACCTCCTGACTGCTGGTACAGGAAATACCCTCAGCATGAAGGAGGATGCGCTGGTCTAAGCATTTGGCTACTCAGCTGAAAACTGGCACTTTGTAGAGGAAAACATTGGAAGGTGATGGTCTTGATGTTCAAAGGCAGCATCTCCTCTACACAGCACTGCACCAGCTACTAGGAAGGAGAAAGAAATAAAGCTGAACCCAGGACAGTGACAAAAAACCTTTGTTACTCATGAGCAAGCCTGGGTCCTGTGAGATGTGCAGAACTTGCGAAGCTCAATGATATTTCCTGCGTGAGTGGGTAAAGTAGTACTGGGCAGAGGGACAATCTGTGCTCAGAGAAGTGAAAAGTCATACCCAGTCATCTGTCCTTCCCATCCCTCCCTCCTGGCTTTATTCTGGACAAGAGAGAGGGGGAGGTAGAGATGGAAGAGAAAGAACAGTCTAAATCCGTGACTCACTGCCCTCCAAGCACAAACACAGCCCCCTTGATGCCCTTCCCTTCTCAGACTGCAGTCCTGTAGAAGCACAGGGGCAATGTAAGCTCCAGGTCACAAACCGTTCGTGAGTACTTCAGGATGACCAGTAAGGTCAGTGCTGTCCAGCCTTCCTCCAAACAAGCTAGTTCAAGTACCTCCCTTTGAAACTCAGGGGGAGGATGCTTTCCATATGAATTTTTCTTAGCAGGTGCCCCAGGTTCAGTGCCATGGTTTTAAAGCCAAGTGCATAACCCCTTCTCTATTTTATGCTGCCTGGCTAGAGATTTCGCAGTTTATTTGAAACAAAAACTTTCCAAGCTTAAAAGTTCATTGGTTTATTCTGCTTCCTTTTTTAAGGAGACTAACACTTGTAGATTTAATACTATTCATCTTGCGTTTAAATTTCTGAATGATTTGATTATTCATTACATATTGAATCCACATAGAAGACTGAGGTGGAATCCTTATGTTTGCTCTAGCCAGAATGCACTTTTACATTGTTCTTAGGACAATTATTTAGACAGGTTTCCCTGAAACACTGATCCATTTGAGTTCTGACAACTTCTGCGCTCCTTCTGGAGCGGCAAACTCCTTACAGCTACATTGACAATGCTGCACACTACCGGCACCTCTGAACTTCCAATACAAAGTCTGCTAGCTTTGCTTCTTGTCCCAGGAGAAAGAAAAATAAGCTGATGCAACCAAGGGGTAACGCTACTTTTGTTACACCTGCCTGCTGCCACGATACAAATCAGATGACAGCAGCGTTCCTTGATGGAATCAGCCCCAAGCTACTACAGAAAGCAAAAGTTTTGCTAATCTGTAGTTCCCAAATTACAAGCAACTTGCATTAGCATTCACCCCCATGGAATGATGTTTAACTGAATGCCAATACATTCCAGAAAATGAACTATTAGAAACTATGAACATATGGGGAGACCTATTAGAAAAGAATTAATATATTTCCATCACGATTCATTTCAGAGGAAAGTTGGCAAGGATTTAGCCTCATCCTTGACTGCTGACTACTCAGACATTATAGCATCATCATGTGAGTGCTGGGAAATCTACAGTGAAACTTACTGATTAAAAACATTTATTTTTCTAATTACATTAGCATTATATATTTCCTTGAGAGCTGCAGCTCTTTGATAAAGATTGGGAAGGAGGGGGGAGAACAGAAAGAATTAAAGAAAAAACGAAAACAAAAATGCAAATATGCACCAGCAGCACAGGAATGAAATGTAAAACCAGTCATCCTTTCAGGCAAAATCCTACCTGAAAGTAATTGCAACAGATTGCTCCAACAAAGGAACCATCCTGGCAAGAAGTAATTGTAGCAACAAATGGCAATCAAGTGATTACATTACATCTTGGGTCTCAATACACTGAGAACACGACCAGTGGAATCAAACTCACTTTTGGGGGGGGGGGGGGTTGTAAGGAAAAAAAAAAGGGGGGGAGGGGGCATTTAAATACAGCCTGACAGGGAAGTTTAGAATGGACAGTACCTTCTTCCTCTTGCGAGATAGTGCAGGTAGGAGCCCTGGCTAGACCTCTGCTGCTACCCCAAGTATCATGCCATCTTTATCAGCACTACACTATTCCTACATTAGTATTTTCTTTGCTGCTGCTCCAGTAACACTTCACATCGGCCCGACTGTAACAGTGAGAACGATTCTAACAGGACAGCTTGCTTAGAGGGGGACTAAGAGCCGTGTGACTCACAGTGGGAGCAGGAGTTACTTTGCAGTCAGTCTCTTAACACACGCTCCCACTTCTCGACGTTACTCGTTCACCCGAGTTCCACGAAAGCCTCGATTTAGTCTTTTCCAAGTCACAAATTAAGGCAACTTGGCCGCTGTTTTTTGCTTTGTTTTTTTTGCTCCTGCTCCGCGTGCTATACAGCAAAGGAAAAAAGTTGCCTTAATCCAGAGACTTCCAGATCGATCCACACACGCTGTAAGCATCCCCAGTGCTTCCTTCACCCATTCCCGCCTTCTGTGCCCTGAAGGCCAGGCGAACACCCCAATTCCACAATTTCGGTGCAAAACAGCAACTAGCCCCAAACTTTCGGGGCAGCCCCGGAAAACTCTCTTCCGCCGCAGGGACTGCCTCGTCAGCCCGTCCGTCTTTCACTACGGCTCGTCCCTAGCACCAAGGGCATGGTGGCTGCCCCTCCATCCTCCCGACCCGCCCCCAGGCAGCGACATGCCCGCTCAGTCGCGACACGGGCTCACTCACCTGGGGAGAGCTGGAAGTTGGCCGGTAACTGGAGAGTGGCCGCGGGCGGACCCTTGGGTGCCACTGGCCGTGGGCCCCCGGTGGCGACCACCCGCACAGCCGGGGGGCCGCCGGTGCCAGCCGCCAGGCGCGGCGGCTGAGGGGCGGCGGAGGGCGCCGGGCCGCCGGGTACCTTAGCGGCGAGGCTGTCTGCGGCAGGGGTGCCGGGAAGTGCGGGGGACGGCGCGGCGGTGGCCGCCTGCTCCGAGTGCCCGCCGGGCATCAGCCTGACGGGGGCCGCCGCCGAGGTGCTCATGGAGGAGGAGGAGGCGACGGGACGGGGGGCGGCCGCGTTGCGTAGCCCCGCAGCATCGCGGGCAGAGGACGCTCAGGCGCTTCCCCGACCGCCGGCTCGCTCAGGGAAACACATGGTGACCGCGCTCTGCCGGCTCCGGGCGCCGCGCACGTGGGCCCCGCCGGCCCGGCCTCCCCTGCCGGCGGCGGGCGGGCTGGCGGGCGGGAGAGGGCGGTGGGAGGACGGGCAAAGGGCGGGCCCACGCCGCCGAGCGCGACCTACTGCGGCGGCGCTCGGCCCGGCCCCGCCGCTTCTCACAGCCCGCGCCCGCCCGCGGTGTTTACAGAGCCACGCAGTGGCGGGCCCGGCTCTCCCGCCCCAACGGAGGTGACTGTGGCGGCACCACGGGAGTCCCGGCGGCGGTCTGCGGGACGGGGAGGGTCTCCTCACAGGGAGACGGGACGGAGCAGCCGCCCCCCCGCCCCTCGTTGCGGGACCTGGCTGCCCTCCCCGCCTGCGCCCGCGGCGTAGGTTTTAGTAGTTCGGGCAGGTAAAGCCGGGCGCTGTGCCTGCAGCCGGCCGCCTCCCTGCGGCAGAGCGGGGCTGCAGGTGTTCTGCGCTGGCTCTGATAACGGGAGCGCCAGCGAGGGTAAGGATCGCCGTGTCACGTTATGCTCAGGAGCGGGGCTGAACTTGCCGACAGGCCGAAAAGGCGAAAGCAGCTCTTACCTGTGAGGAGGAAGGGGACAGGGATGTCCTGTTTGACCTTCAGGCCCAGGGCTCGATGTGGAGGAGGGCTGAGGAGGGACGTGCCACCTGCCTCCCCTGTAAAGCAAGTGTGATGGTTAACAGGACATGCATAACACAGCCTTTAAAGTCAGCAGAGTATAGCTGAAAGTCTTTGCTGGTTTGGGATGTTAGCATGACCTTCAGTAATACAGTGGTATATCATAGACAAGTTTGGGCTAAATTCCAGTAGGTTTTGAAGGATGCTTATGCACTTGTTTCTATTTACCCATAAAACCTGAGGAGCGTTGCCCATATGCCCAAGTTGAGCACAACATTAAGATGAGTATAAAAACCAAGGCCTGATATACAGTTCCTTATAGAGGTGCAAAAAGCAGAGTCTGACAAAATGTTAGGAGAGAAAAAAAATAAATTACCTTTTGATTACCCTCTGGAACTACATTTTCCAGATAGAAACATAGACAATAAATTCTAATGCTTGATGATAACGCTGAAAATCACGTAACATGAACAGAATGTAAGAATGTACATGCATTTTTTCCATGCCCCAATAGATGAACCATGCCCAAATAAGTGCAGTTCCATGCTCTGCTGCTTTGTGAGGCAGAGGGAGCAAAGGAAACACTCCTCTCTTTGACCATATTCTTTTTCAGCCTTGCTTGATTTCATAGCATCACTACTTTAAAATGCAGTCAGCATTTTAACTGATACAGCTACAGAACAGAAATTTCTTGAGAACTGAAAGCATATGGCCACATTGATTTCCAGTGCAGTCACAACACAGTACAGTCACAACTGTACGCTCCCAAAATTCACTAGTACTGGCAGCAACAGCCATGAAGATAAGCCACATGAACCGGCAGTCTGAGTGCCTGAATCTTTTACATGCGTGTCAAGTTTGCGCTGCTGTGCTTTCACTATTGCTATACTGGTAGCTTTGACAGATTGCAGAAAGTGCAGCTATCACACCTGCATTCACAACATACGAGATAAGAAACACTGTCATTAAAGCCTATATGCAGGAACACAAAAACCCAACCCTATTTAGGATCCAAACACAGTGTTTTCTCTGTCACATGGCATCCCTTCTCCCTCATTGCTGCAGCTCTTTGCCTTACCTCAACTCCCACTGTGCCTACCATTCCAGAACAAACTCATCCCAAAATCTGAAACAGGTGACAGCAGCAGCAATGGTTACAATTCCCAAGAGTGAGAGCAGGCAAGACGATAACACAGGAGGGAGGCAGTCTCTGTACCCTTTAGAGCTCTGAGCAAATTGTATCACTTCTTAACACATTGGAAGCTGCATTACACACACAGAGTAATGACCAGGGTGCAGTGAATTATCGCCCACCTGCCAAAGGATGCTCAGAGACCAGGAGACATGGAAGCTGTAGTTCCATAAAGAGCAACAGTGACCAATAGCAGGATGATGCAAAGGAAAGCACACTGCCCACTCTTCTTGGACTTCAGAAGAACACCTGGCTTATTACTTAAAGCCAAGTTTTCCCTCTTGTTGGGGCCATTCAGCTTCTGAAGGAATCTCTGAGATCCCCATGCAAATGTTCAGGAGTGAAAGCATATCTGGAAGAGACAAAAAGAAACAGCTGAAGGAGACAGAAGGTATGCACTAAAGCTGCTAGGCACAGCAGAATGTGGAAAGAGGAAGTTGAAAATACAGCATAGTGAGAGAAAAACATAAGGAGGCTGCAAAAGAGGCAAAGGAAGTTATATGAAAGACAACACAGGAAAAGGTATTATAGCACAATGAAAACAAAGAGAAAAGAAAAACTAACCAGTGCACAAAGCCTAGAAGATTTAGAAATATGCATGTCTTAAAAAAATACTGGGCTAACAAAGTGCCATAAGTGTCCTCTCCAAATAAAGCAGATTCACCCATCATTCTACAAAACTGCACAGGAAATAAAAGGAAGAGTCTTCTTACAACACTGGAAATATGTGTTACAATAAGGACTAAACATTACTAGTATGCAGTCTTTATTACCCAAGTTAAGAGAAATGCAAAAAGTCAGAATAGCAAGGAATAAGTAATCTGGAATTTTTAAAGAATTTTCATAATTGAACAAGTTACAGCACATGGAGGAAAGTTACTTTTGTTACTACCTGGAGCTTGTTGATTTTATTTTAAAATTATCTTTATTTTCTTGGGTGACTGCTACAACCAAAGAAAACCCATGCACTGGAAAACTCAGACTAAAGTCATCATCTTGTCCGCAGCTTTTCCTCCCTGCCACGACCTAGTCCAGGAGATACTGATGAACATGGTAACTGCTTTTCAAAGTCAGACAAATATACATCAAGTGTTCATTCCATGAATGCTCAGCCTTGGCAAATTGACGTGCTTTGCTACTTCAGATAACCAATGAATGGATTCATCTGATGCTTACATAGAAGCATATTCTTTACCGTCTGGGCACAGGAAAGCATTACTGCAGACAACAGTTAAGATTTCTTCTCCAGGAGTCATTAGGTTATATGCTGCCTGGAGCTTGGTCTGTGTAACCTGTTTTCAACAGCGAAGACCTATGCAGCATAGACTTAATCAGTCTCTGCTGTTTTAAGCTTTCTTGAGGCTTTCAAATAGCATATTTGAAATCAAACATCCACCCTCAAAATTTCTCTCCAGACAGCAGGTCTTAACTCTTCCGAAGATGGACCTTTATGAAGTCCTTAAGATTTTACGTCAGTTTCACATCCAGTGCTTTGGTTTTAGTTTCCTACAATCCTAATAAACCCATCTAATATGCTTTAGGGTTTTTAATCTGTCCGTGATCCAATTTACAAAAGTTTTATTTCCCCTGATTGATAAATCATCAATTAAATACTACCACTAAATTAGCTGGAATGAGAAACTTGTAACATTTGCCTTAAGCTTTTCTTAAATGACAGAGACCTGGCAGCACTATGGAATTAACTTAAGCATGGAACAGCAACACAAAGGGAAGAAAAAGGTGTGAAGATTTAATCTCATTAGTTAAAATAGTTAATGGGAAAAAATAAAAGCTTACAATGAAATAAGTTTAATAGTAACAAAGAACACTTGCTCTTCAGGAAAAGATACTGAAATAAATGAGATACTGTAGTTAAGAGCAGTAAAATTCGCAGAATAGAAAATTTCATTAAAAAAAAATAAACAAATGAGAACGGGTTAACTGGAGGTGCCAGCATAGAAGATATGGCAAAAAGATTAAGTCATGGGAACATAGTTGCAAATGTGAATTTATTTATTAATGAAAACAACAAAGTGAAATCACAGGTATTTAATATCCTCAGTAACCCCACCCCTACATCAAGTTGCAACTTAAGTAGATTTTTTTCTTACTTTACAGTCAGTGTTACAGTCTGCTCTGTTTTTTTCTGTCTCAACTGATGATCTTTTATGGATGTGCCAGCTTCTTTTCGACATTCAGGTCACAAATGCCAATCAGGCATCACATTTATGTGAGTCAAACTCTTTGTTCTATGAGGTACAATCCACTGTGGCTTTTAAAACCTTATACATCATTTAAAACTACATCAGTAAGGTAATAACAAAATAATTAGGCATATACTTTTACATTATTCTAAGCCATAAAGCTTGGGTGACTATAGTGACCTCCTCATAACAAGAGAGCTAACTGAACAGGGAACTTAGCTGTACAGTGGGACATATTAAATCCCAGCAGAGGAAACACTACTTGGCTGCTGGTTTGGGAAACCCAAAGCTACATCATGAAGCCACAAAAGTGATGTGCTGATGTTTGGAGGGTCAGGGAAGCACACATACCTCACAGGCGAGGCTTTAAGTGACAGAGAAAGAAGGGAGGAATGAGTACAAGCAATAGAAATGGGTGGCTGAAAATAGACAGTAACAGGGAACAGGTAGAGTTAAAATCATAGATCACAGAATGATTTGGGTTGGAAAGGACCTTAAAGGTCATCTACTTCCAACCCCCCTGCCATGGGCAGGGACACCTTCCACTAGACCAGGTTGCTCAAAGCCTTGTCCAGCCTGGCCTTGAACAGTTCCAGGGGAAAGGCTTAGCCATTGGACACAAATTAATTCTCAGTGGGACAGAAAGATAAATAAATAAACAAACAAATAAATAAAAAAGCTAAGACTCACCATTTTAAGACTTACATAACTGTATTAATAAGTTGTACTTGCTGTCCAGTATAATTCACTAAAAGCAAGCAGGTTTATCACTGCAGCTGCAGTGGCCTGTAATAATACAGCATTATGTAAAATGATAGTGCTAATCTATTTGTCATGGGTTACATGACCTTTTTTTCTGTTTGTCATTGTACAGGATTACAACACTTGGTAAATGAAACAGAACATAAAATGAGTACTTTACTGGACTTGTAATACCACTGAACCCTAATTATCCCATTTGCAAAAAGTTACAGAATCATCGAATATCTTAATCCGGAAGGGACCCATA